CAGATCTCTTTTATGTCCAGGCCCAGCCCCAGCCCCAGCCCCAGCCCCCATCATCTAACAAGCGTCCCAGCAACAGCACACCACCCCCAACACAGCTCAGCAAAATCAAGTACTCAGGGGGACCCCAGATTGTCAAGAAAGAACGACGGCAAAGCTCCTCCCGCTTCAACCTCAGCAAGAATAGAGAGCTACAAAAGCTTCCTGCCTTGAAAGGTACTCATTGATGGACAGGGACTAATGAACTGGGCTTGGGGCCATGAAGATTGGTTTAGGAGTCTATCTTTGGGAAAAGGGTATTCTGTAGACATGGGGTTCGACTGTGACAAGGTGCCAGGGAGCAGGATGGGAGCAGGCAGTGGGACATGCGTGAAGAATGACTGCTGAGACCTCCACAGATTCGCCGACCCAGGAGCGCGAGGAGCTCTTTATCCAGAAGCTGCGCCAGTGCTGTGTCCTCTTTGACTTCGTGTCAGACCCGCTCAGTGACCTCAAATTCAAGGAGGTGAAGCGGGCAGGACTCAATGAGATGGTGGAGTATATCACTCACAGCCGTGATGTTGTCACTGAGGCCATCTACCCTGAGGCTGTCACCATGTTTTCAGTGAACCTCTTCCGGACGCTGCCACCTTCATCGAATCCCACAGGAGCTGAGTTTGACCCTGAGGAAGATGAGCCTACCTTGGAAGCTGCCTGGCCACATCTCCAGGTACCAGGGCACTGGGACAGGGTGGGTCTGGCTATAGGACACGGGGTCCTTAGGACTGCCATAAGGGAATCTCCCAGTCCTTGGGTCAGGTCTCAGTGAAGCTTCTTTCCTCCACAGCTTGTTTATGAGTTTTTCTTACGCTTCTTGGAGTCTCCAGATTTCCAGCCAAATATAGCCAAGAAGTACATTGACCAGAAGTTTGTGCTTGCTGTGAGTCTGAGCTTCCTGCCCTTCTCATGAACTGTAGTCTTCCATGCCTTTACCTGCGTCCTGCCAGTTTTTTCCCTTATTCTGATACACTGGAAGTTCAGCTGTGTCTAGTCCAAGGCTTTCAAAGAAACTTCCAGTGTAACTGGCGGGGCGGGGGTGTTGATGACAACAAAGTGTCCCTCTCCACTCAGTGGAGTATAAATATGCATACCCAGATTGAATGAGCCATATAATAAAATCACTCTGCTTTTCAGAAACCTAACCCCACTCCCCAGAGAACTTGTGGCCAAAGCCCATGCCTTCCTGGCTGCTGCCTCATTGTCTGCTTTTCCTAACCTCCTGCTCCTAGCTCCTGGACCTATTTGATAGTGAGGACCCTCGAGAGCGGGATTTTCTCAAGACCATTTTGCATCGTATCTACGGCAAGTTTTTGGGGCTCCGGGCATATATTCGTCGGCAGATCAACCACATCTTCTACAGGTGAGGCGATGAGCCCAGACTGGGGAGCACACCATGCCCCTGCCTGTGGTGGGATGGGAACAGGAAGGCAGGGAAGACTGCAGAATGCTGGAGGGGACATGTCAAGAGGGCCTCTTCCCTTTCCCTTAGGTTCATTTATGAGACTGAACATCACAATGGGATTGCCGAGCTCCTGGAGATCCTCGGCAGGTGAGTGGGGAATGCAGATGCCATGGAAGATTGGGGAATGCGTAGGCTGAGCTTGAGCATATTTGGTCCTAAAAACGTCCCTTGACTTCTAGCATCATCAATGGCTTTGCCTTGCCCCTTAAGGAAGAGCACAAGATGTTTCTCATCCGTGTCCTGCTTCCACTTCACAAGGTCAAGTCCCTGAGTGTGTACCACCCTCAGGTAAGCTGCCTGCCTCTGAAGATTCCTCCCCTGAGCCAAAGAGGGGAGAGAAGAGACAGAGACAAAGGGGGAGGGAAGGGTTTTCTGACGACACAGAAGGGTGGTGACAGTAAATCTGCTACACCTCTCCTTCCTTTCTGGGATTTCGTCTGTCACTGAGTGCTCTCCTCCTGAGCTGCGTTTTCACTTTCATCCTCAACCTTTCCCAGCTGGCATACTGTGTGGTACAGTTCCTGGAGAAGGAGAGCAGTCTCACTGAGCCGGTAATTTCCTTTCCGGGGCCCCAGTCATCAGCAGTGCTTGCCCATCTCCACCTGTTGGTTTTGTTTCTGTTGTTTGTGGTACTGGCCAGCAAACCTAGGGCGTCTCAAGCAAGAACTTTATGACTGCGCAACGTCCCTAGCTCCAGTCTGTAACTACTGAGTGCTCTAAGTGGGTGCTCAGGACTGGGTGATGCGGGTTCCTCCCAAGGCAGTCAAAACCTACATACTGAGGAAACTTTTCTGATCCGAGCCAGAGAAGCCATGTGGTTAGCTGAGGGTAGGTGTGGGACGAGGCAATACAAAGGCTTCCCAGGGAACTGTGCAGTCTTAGCAATTTTATCCTCACAACTTCTTCATAGGTGATTGTGGGACTTCTCAAGTTTTGGCCCAAGACCCATAGCCCCAAGGAAGTGATGTTTCTGAATGAGCTAGAGGAGATTCTGGATGTCATTGAACCCTCAGAGTTCAGCAAAGTGATGGAGCCCCTCTTCCGCCAGCTTGCCAAGTGTGTCTCCAGCCCCCATTTCCAGGTGAGACCAGACCCACTGTCTCCCAAAGATGGCAGTGCAGGTCTTGAGAGCTGAGCTGCACTTCTCCTTGACAGGTGGCAGAGCGCGCCCTCTACTACTGGAACAACGAGTACATCATGAGCCTAATCAGTGACAACGCTGCCCGAGTCCTACCTATCATGTTTCCCGCACTCTATAGGAACTCCAAAAGCCACTGGAACAAGTAGGCCACTGAGTTTGGGCTGATGTGGGACATGGGTATTCAAAACTCTATGGGTGTAGAACTCGAGACAGGGATTTCACCTGGCCATGCAGTAAGCAAAGCTGGTGCCCACCAAATATTACTAAGTGGGTCCTTGAGGAGTTGACTGGCAAGAAAAGGTGCTAATGAGACATCCTTGCAGTACCAAATAGCTGACTGGATCCATACCACAGCCTTGCAGACATTCTAGGCTGGAGGGAACTATGTGATATACTTAAAGACAATATAAAGAGTCCAAGTCGTAGAAAGGCTTTCCTGCAGAAGGCAAGATGGGTGTGGTGCTGACAGTCCTCGTGCTACTGGGAGGCCGTGGGGCATGAGCCAAGGCAGGCTCAGGGTGGGAACTGCATTTGTAAAGGTCCATCAGCTGCTCTCAAGCCACATGAGTTAGGTGCTTCTACAGTGTAGGTTTGTGAAAAGGACTAGTAAATGGAAAAGCTTTTGGCGGAGACGTGAAAACAAGCAAACTGGGGCTGTGGCATGGACGGCAGGCTGGGCCTCCTGCACACGGTCTTTCTCTGGATGGCAGGACAATCCACGGACTCATCTACAATGCCCTGAAGCTGTTCATGGAAATGAACCAGAAGCTGTTTGATGATTGCACACAACAGTACAAAGCAGAGAAACAGAAGTGAGTCTCTTTCCCAAGAGGATCACCACCTTCTACCTCTGGCTCACTGTCCCCAATTCCAACCCTACTGTTCCCTCCCATAGGGGCAGGTTCCGAATGAAGGAAAGAGAGGAAATGTGGCAGAAGATTGAGGAGCTGGCACGGCTCAACCCCCAGGTGAGGCTTTATGCCACTGCCCCGAACTCAGGCAGTCCTTTTAGAGTTGGGAAGAGTCTGGAGGAAGAGTGAGGCAGATTGGCTCTGAAGTGCTCACCGTTTGTCCGTACCTCTTGCCCTCTCAGTACCCTATGTTCCGAGCTCCTCCACCACTGCCCCCTGTGTACTCCATGGAGACAGAGACTCCCACGGCAGAGGACATCCAACTTCTGAAGAGGACAGTGGAAACAGAGGCTGTGCAGGTGAGAGGTTACCAGGGACAGGGGGCAGGTTGGGATAGCAGTAACAGTTCTAGGAGACAGAGGAGAACTCTTGGGACTGGTCACCATTCCTGGCTTCTCCCTGTTCATGCACAGATGCTAAAGGACATCAAGAAGGAGAAAGTGCTGCTTCGGAGGAAGTCAGAGCTGCCACAGGACGTGTATACCATCAAGGCACTCGAGGCACACAAGCGGGCAGAAGAGTTCCTGACTGCTAGCCAGGAGGCTCTCTGACCCCTCCCCTTCCCACAGGGTTACAGCCCACTCAGCCCTGGGACTCAGCCCGGCCCTCCACCCTCTGCTCCTTATTGGCTGACCTGGGGCACAACAGCACCTCTCTGGCTACTCTAGAGGATGCAGGCACTGGAAGCAGGGATGCCCAGAGTGCTCCCTCTTCACCCCTAAATGTGTTCATGCCTCCCTGTGGCTAGTACAGACAGGCTGAGCACTGAGTGCTCAGTGCTTAGACAACCTGGGGGTGCCTGTCCCCCTGCTCCTAACCCCACAGCTACCTGAAACTGTTCTGAGAAACACAAACACAGGAATCACATGTTCCTCTCCCCTGCATCCTCATCTGAACTTGAGGTGTCTCTCCTCTCCCCTGCAGGGTAAAACAGGAGATTGTCACCAAAGTTACATCAAGCTCCATCGGCCCCTGGAGTGAAGAGCTGGAGGGAATCCACCCCCAGCAGCACAAATAGGCCCCCTAGCCCTAGCATTATGCAGGCAGGGGGGTGGTGGTGTGTTATTCCCTTTATCCTCTGTCTAACCAGGACAACACAGAGGCCAGAAAAGTATGTTATGGACACTAGATGAATATAGGGCGCAGTGGACCAAGATGGGGAGAATGAACCATCTACCTTGCCCCTCTTTGGCAAGCAGCAGTCCTGGGATCACAAACACAGAAGGGACCACCCTGTGGCTGACTGCTTTCTTTGTGCTGTTGGGTCCCAAAGCTATAAAGAGGGAAGCAGGAGCAGTGCCCCGAGCATGGCTCCCTGCAACACCTATTTATTTCCTTGTTCATGCTGATGCTGGGCAGGCCCTCACCTGTACCCTTTGGGCACTCAGAAAAGCAACAAGTAGGGAGGGCTGGACCAGGTTTCAGGGGCACAGGCAGTGCGGCTTTTGGCTGTGTACATAGGGTGCTTTATTCTCCACAGAGTGATACATGCTACGGTGGGTTGGGCTCGGGCCAATGTCCCCATATGTACAGAACCGAATAAAGTGGGTCTCTGAGAGGTCTGGTGTGCCTTGATGTGAAAGGGACATGGGAAGGTGTGTGTTAGAACCCGAGTGGTGTCAGTCCTGTGCTGGTCTTGGCTTGGAATGTAGGGAGGTAAGGCAGCTCTCCGTGTGGTTACTTCCAGGCAGGGGATGCCTGCCGGGCTTGGAGGGCTTTCTGTACCACATCTTCCCACTGAGCGTCCGATATCTCCCGAGCCCAGGCAGGAACCCCTGGTGCAGGCAGGCTTACTCCAGCCATGGTCCTTTTCACCAGCTCTACGTGTTCTGAAAGCACAGCCACAGGCTGGTTAGGGGATAGAGACAACGGACCCAGTTCCCTCCCTATTCCTTCAATCAACCTAGAACCCTTGACTCATGGAGTCACCAATTCCACATTACTGCCAAGTCTACCCATTCTCAAATCTAGCTAAATAGCATTTCACCTACATTCTGAAGTCTGCAAAAATTTGTTAACACACTTCCTTCTTTTTAAGGGTAAGATGGTCCTCTTACTTTTCTTACTGGTTTTAATCCTGTCTACTTCCTTCTTAATTACTCCCAAATGAAAGGAAGAGCTTTTTTACCTGGGTCCATGGGGATAGAGCTGTGGCTGCTCAGTGCTGCAGCCCCCTCCTCATCTTCATCCTCACTCTCTAATGGTGGGTCTGGCAAATGAAGCCCCAGGGCCTGCAGAACCAGAGAGAAGAGAGTTTGCATCCAGCTTTTGGTACAGTCTGTTTCACATGCTCAGGAACAATTCCCTCCACCACACCTGGATCCGATCTTGAATGTCAGCAGCTCCATCTTCTCCCTCACCCACTGGTGCCAGTTCCACCTCTTCTTGTTCAGGGTCTTGATTGAGGGGTTGGTAGGAGTAGCCTGCTGGGCCTGCTCCTGTTTCCTCCTGCTCTTCCTCGGGTTCTTCACTGCTCCAATCCCCAGTTCCTTCTGTAGGACCCTGATGTGGCCCTAAGTCCTCGGTTTGATTGGGGAAGATACGTTCTGGGCCCATGGTGTCTCCCCCTAGAACTACTGCTGCCATCCGGGCAGGGGCTGTAAGGACAGAGAGGCAGGATAGGAACTGGATGAAACCGAGTCCGCTTTCAGCTCGCGATTTGCAGTCTCCTTTTACATTCATGAAACTCACTTCCCTCTCTCAGGGTCTTGTGTCTTCCTCCCCTCTCCCGTCTCTCACTCCTGCCCGTCTTAAGTCAAGGTTCTCATACTGAACTCGAGCCCACCAGTCTAACTTTCCCGATTCCTGAATAAACAGACACCCGGAGGGCTTCCCCGCTTCGGGAGAGACCCTTTCCAGAACCACTTCCCCTCCCGTCACGCCCCTCCCCGGTTTAGTAACTGCAGGTCGCCAGACTACCCACGAGAGCGCGTCCCCGCCCCTCATCCCTTCTCTCCGGGGTACCACAATACCGCCTGACAAGCGCCCTTTAAGCCCAGAGGTGCCCCTTCAGTGGCCCCAGCTGCAGCGTCCCCTACCCGCCCCCACTCAGTCACGGCGTTGGTGTTTCCTCGCGCCTCACCCTCTCAGAGCCCACAGCCGGACCCGCACCTTCACTTCCGGCGGGGCAGGACGTGCTGTGGCTCTTAGTCCTCCAGCCCCGCCCCGTGCCCAAGACTGACGCAAGCGAGGACGAGAAGTCAACCTCTTGCCCCGCCTCCGCCATCCCCTGCCCAGACCACAAAGAACTACATTACCCAGTGACCCTTGGGGTCGCGACGTGATCTGCGCATGCGCACCCCCCTCCAGGCTCCCAGCCCTGAGGTAACTTGTGGACTACAAGTCCCCGAAGGCGTCGGGCTTAGGGTTCCCACTGCACGTGCGCGTCCCGCTGCCCGCCGGAAGGACAGAGCCTGGCAGTGTTTATCTCGTTGGGGACCGAGGAATCGGTTGGCGCGCAACGGGTTGTAGGCTGCCAGCTGCGCGAGGAACCGTGGCCCCACCCCGGCCCGGCCTGGCAGGTAGCCTGGGATGGGGTGAGGGAGGAGAAGAATTGGAGGGTCTGGCGACGCCCATGCCTACCGCTGGAGTCGCGGGGGAGGGGCTGAGAAGGATGAGATGGGGGTGGGGAGGGAGCTAGGGGGATGCTGGGAAAGAGGAGTGTTAATGGACAGCGAAAGGTTTGGGGGAAATGGCCTGGAGACGGGTGGGAGAGACCTGGTGGCTGGAGGTGGCGTTGAAAGAAACTGGGCGAGTGGGTTCTGAAGAGAATCAGGAAGCTGGGCATAATGGCAGGGGGAGGGGGACAGTGTCTGGCGTTGTGGGGGAGGGGCGGATGAGAAAGGTGGAATAAAACAGAGTCGAGTCATACTCAGAGAGAAACATCTATGGTTGGAAGGGGACAATGAACGTTTTCTTCCCTTCGTGGAAGTAGACGAATGAACTCTAGTGTGGGCCTTGTAGTGATGGGAGAAGGAAAAACAAGAGAACCGCAAAGCTCTCAGGAGACGAAGAAGGGAAGGGTCGCAAGTAGAGGGAGACATTTGCAAGGTGTCACGGAGGGGGAGCGTACGTCCTGGATGGAAGGTCGAAAATGGAGTGGTGGAGAATGCGGGAGACCAGAGATCCTGTTAGCCCTGCCTTTGAGTTAACAGTATGAAGACCGGGGGTGGAGGGTATTCTTTATCCATCTCTTATTGGGATTGATAGTCTCATCTGTGCATTTTCATTTTTTCTGGACTTATTTCAAGGAAGAGTGAAGATGATAGGTTCTTCCCCGTCCCCTGTTTTTTTTTTTTTTTTTTTTTGGAGACAGGGTCTTACTAGCTCTGGCCAGCCTTGACCTCGTCTACCTTCCCAGTGCTGAGGTATTAAAGGCATGCCCTACCGTACCTTAAAGCTTTCAATATGTTTTCTCTGACAAGCACAGATTGAGAGGATTGAGAGTAACTTTTGGCTGCTGCTATCTCAGGTTAAGAGAGGTGGCTCTTTAAAGCATACAGTGTAGGGTTGGGGGAGGTTGGGGAGGTAGCTGTGTCATGCCAACTGAAAGACATGTCTGTCTCTTGCAAGGGAACCTTATTTTTCCTTGCTGCCCCCTCCACGCCCCCCCCAACCCCCGAGGTTCTACTTGTTTCCTCTCTCTGCCAAGGCTTTTTAAACAGGGAGAAGATGATCTGCCCAAACCCAGCAGATACCTGCTGGCAAAGGCATTGCCAGTTGCCAAAGGATTTAACCTGAAAGAGCTCTCAAATGTGCCCATTATCACTAGGGTAGCAAGCTGTCTTTAAGAGGCCATGACCTGTCTCATGCTTGGGGCCTTTCTCTTGTTCTGCCCAAAGGCATCTCTGCTCTCCTGCTCTTTCCAATGTACACCCCGCCGTATCCCTTTAGAGACCTTAACAGAGGAAGAGCTTGTTTTCCTACCATAGAAAGCATGGGCAAGTGGCAAGGGAGAAGACTCCTCTTCCCTACCCCAACCCCCAACATATACTTTTCTGGCTTCAGTTTCTAGTCCTGGCAGCAGACGAGCCACAGCTGTCAAAGGGACTCCTCGTGCCCGTGGCACCCTGGGTGACCCCGGGACAACGGATCAACTTGACAAGAACTCCCTGTGAGGGGCTAATCAACCATGGTTACATGGAGTTCCCTGTCCTAGGTAGGGACACTATTCCACTTTAAAAGCCTGAAAGCTTTTTTTACTTTAAAGTACCCCTGCCAGCTCTCAGTGGACTGGCTGTGGCTGGCTGAGCTATTAATAGCTGTGAGGATTTTGAGATCCCTACCTTTAAGAGATGGAGGAAATTCTTAGAGAGGTGGGAGTAAGCAGAGCCAGAAGCTAGAACACACCCAGTATGGGCAGGGGTTCAGAGACTGGGGGCTTGGAGCTTGTTCCAGGCCAGGGACAGGGAGGAGTGGACATGAGTAGGGGTAATCATGACCACCAGCTTCTGAGCTGGCAGTCAGGTGAAGGCGGCCCCACCCTTCACTGTGGGAGAACATAGCTTCTTGACCTCTGCAGCTCCCCTGGGACAGAGCCAGCCACCTGAGCTGTAACTAGTGTCCCTGTAGAGGGGTGGTGTGGGAGGGCCTTAGGTGACACTTGGAGGCAAAGACTGGTCCAGGACAGCCGCACTGAGCTGAGCAGAAGCCTTGTCTGAGGAACCTGTTGCCCCGACTTGTGTACAGGTAGCAGAGGCAGCAGGCCGTGCTGGGGGGGCATGTTCCTGTAACCTGTGACCCAGGGGATGTTACGTTGGACAGTGCATCTGGAGGGCGGGCCACGCAGGGTGAACCATGCGGCAGTGGCTGTTGGGCACCGAGTGTACTCCTTCGGGGGTTACTGCTCTGGTGAAGACTACGAGACACTCCGTCAGATAGATGTGCACATTTTCAATGCTGGTAAGCCAGTCCTAGTACCTTTGTTGGGTTTCTACATCAGGGGAGGTAGTGGGCAGCTGAATAAAGTTTGGTGGTGGTCTCTGTGTGGTGGGGAGTTGAATAAGAATGTTTGGTTTCTGGGGCGGGAGGTGATGGTGCACGCCTTTAATCCCAGCACTCAGGAGGCAGAGGCAGGTGGGTCTCTGAGTTCGAGGCCAGCCTGGTCTACAAGAGCTCATTCTAGGACAGGCTCCAAAGCTACATAGAAACCCTGTCTCGAAAAAACAAAAACAAAAAAAGAATGCTTGTTTGGAATAAGGTGGCAGCTTTGAGGGAAGTTCCCAAGGGCTGAGCAGAACTCTGCCCACAGTGTCCTTGCGTTGGACAAAGCTGCCCCCAGTGAGGCCTGCCGTCCGAGGGCAGGCTCCTGTTGTGCCCTATATGCGGTATGGACACTCAACCGTCCTCATCGATGACACCGTCTTCCTTTGGGGTGGGCGCAATGACACTGAAGGGGCCTGCAACGTACTCTATGCCTTTGATGTCAGTGAGTATGGGTCTCAAATGATGCCTTGGGGCTGGGGGAGTATTGGAGAAGGGAAGGCCAGAATTAAAGTGGGTATGTCACCTGACCTTACTTACTTTTACTTCTTTCAAAAGATACTCACAAGTGGTCTACACCCCGAGTGTCAGGAACAGTTCCTGGGGCCCGGGATGGACATTCAGCCTGTGTCTTGGGCAAGATCATGTACATTTTTGGGGGATATGAGCAGCTGGTAAGTCTGGAAAAAAACTACGTTTTTATATCAAAAAGAAGAGAGGAAAATTTAGCATGGTGGAATAGGCGGCTTTGAGTGGAAAGGTAGCGGGCCAAGAAGAACCACTGATGGCGCCCGTTTCCCTCCTCTCGTCACTTAGGCAGACTGCTTTTCCAATGACATTCACAAGCTGGACACCAGCACCATGACATGGACCCTTGTGTGCACAAAGGTTTGCCCTTTGTTCTGTCAGATTCTAGGAAGTTAAATTAGCTTTTCCTCTGTGAACCCATGTTGACCCTCTTCCCCATCTCTGCTCTTGGCTAGGGTAACCCTGCACGCTGGAGGGACTTCCATTCAGCCACAATGCTGGGCAATCATATGTATGTCTTTGGGGGCCGTGCTGACCGCTTTGGGCCATTTCATTCCAACAATGAGATTTACTGCAACCGAATTCGAGTCTTTGACACCAGAACTGAGGCCTGGCTCGACTGCCCACATACTCCAGTGCTGCCTGAGGGACGCAGGAGCCATTCAGCCTGTGAGTGTCTGTTATCTTCTTGTGGAACCCCATGTGCAACCCCATTCCCTCTTGACATGTCTTTTTCCTTCCAGTTGGCTACAATGGGGAGCTGTACATCTTTGGTGGCTATAATGCAAGGCTGAACCGGCACTTCCATGATCTCTGGAAGTTTAACCCTGGTAAAAAGCATTCCCCTTAGGGGAGGGACAATTAACAGTTGAGGTGGGAGGGAAAGAATAACCCTGGGTGAGGGACTGGGTTGGGCTATGTGTGATGTTTAGATTGGTATTGAACCTCTGTGAACTTCTCTTTAGGGTCCTTCACCTGGAAAAAGATTGAACCAAAGGGGAAAGGACCATGTCCCCGCCGGCGCCAGTGTTGCTGTATTGTTGGTGATAAGATTGTCCTCTTTGGGGGTACCAGGTTAGGAGAGAGGGGAGTACTCAGGAACGGGCCTACATCTGTAACAGAAGAGAGGGAGGCATCTGAGTAAGGGGTCTTGTGGGTAGTTGTACCACCTCCTTCTTCCTCTTCCCGTCTCTACAGCCCCTCTCCCGAGGAAGGCCTGGGAGATGAATTTGACCTCATAGATCATTCTGACTTACACATCTTGGACTTTAGTAAGTACTTTTTTCTGAAGTGCTCCTATTCTCAGCTTCTCTCTCTGGGTAGTGACCAGGGTAGGACCTTCCTCTGCTCTGACTGTCTTTCAACACTTTCATTAAAGGCCCTAGTCTGAAGACTCTGTGCAAACTGGCCGTGATTCAGTATAACCTGGACCAGTCCTGTTTGCCCCATGATATCAGGTACAGCAAGTGGTTGCAGAGGAGGGGTTGGTTGAGGGTGCAGGGCCAACACAGGTGTAACTCGATTAGCTCAGTCTCAGTATGCAGAAGACAGACATTTCTGTTTGCTGGAGAGGAAGTTTTTGTGAAGAACAAGGGTGTAAAGGTGTAGCCATCATGTTAGAGCTGTCAGCTGCATGAAGAAAACATTGAGGTTTTTGAGCCATGCTTAGAAGCTTTGTTTTGGTGCTGTACTGAGAGTGGTTGGATATATCTCAGGATTGACTGCCAAGTAGAGATTTGAAGAGTCTGTGGACCCCAACTCCCAACCCCAGTTTCAGAATTGAGAGAGGTCCTGGATTCTTGCCTCTGAATTCCAGTATTGAGTTCTAATCAAACCCCTAATGTCACTCAATGAATCACTTACTCTTGTTGGTTATTTTGAAACAGTCCCTACTCCTCGAGCCGGGCTTATCTGATGAGTCCCAGGCTGACTCTAGATTGACACAGGTGCAGGTGCCTTCCTACTGAGCACCTGGCTGAGTGTCTTGAGAGGGAGTGTTTCCTGAGTCTTTGTGGAGTGGAAGAGCTGCTCAAAGCATACTTTAATTTGGTGGGGCGGATAGGAAAGGTCATAGGCCCTAAAGTTTAGGGAGAACAGAAGGTATGAATTGCGACCTTAAACCAGTGGAAATAGACGGCAAGAAGGGTGCTCCTGTGGGTGAGGCAGAACCCTGCTGGGCTGGGTCGGTGAGGAGCAGGAGAGATACGCGAGGATGTTTACTGAGATGGGTACACATAATCCAGGTGCTTGGACTCAGGAATCTAAAAAAAACATAAACAGGAAATCCACAAGAGCTTGGAGGTAGATGAGTAGGTGGTGTTGGATTTAGTGGTGGGTGGGGTCTGGTGGTCAAACCCACAAGGACTGTAAGGAAGAGGTAGCTGTGGGAAATTGGAGGGGCAGCTGTGTTCATGGCTTTGTCCAAAGAATTCTGGGCTTGCCATAGAGACTACCTCTTCTGTCTTCTCTGCCCATCTTTGGCCTTCCAGGTGGGAGCTCAATGCCATGACCACCAACAGCAATATCAGCCGTCCCATTGTCTCCTCCCATGGATAGGAAGGTTCTGCTGCCTCCCCTCCTGAGCCTGCTCTTGTCTTCATTGCCCCTGCCCGTCTCACCTGCCTGCCCCTTTGGACCCTGGACTCAGTATACCTCCACGTGGAGTTGATGGACTAGAGGTGTTTTCTGTGCTGTGAATTCAGTGGGGAGTTGTTGGGGGGAGGGCCATTCTCCTCCTCCCTTGGGCCGAGGGCCCCTTCCCTTGGTGCTCTGTTCCCATTCACCTCCCTTCCACTGCTCCTGGACCTTTGCTCTGACCCAGGCCAGCTGGGTAGCCAGGCTGTGCTGGAAAGGGACAGGAGTGGGGAGAAGGAGAAGCCAGCAGTGTCGGAGCTTCAGGAGCTTCCCTCTCCCCGTGACCATCCCTCTCCCTGCTTGAGCATCTGCCTGGGAGCTGAGAGGAGCCTCAGCTGTTGGCATGAAACCCCCCTTCCCCGGCCCTCGGGGGTGGGGACCAACAGACAGCTTCACCCATCCTCAAGCTGTTGTACCCCCGAAGATCAGCCAGCTCTGGTTTTATAAAACGCAAAGCCTCTAAACGTGTCGTGTTTCTGGGGACTAAGATGGAGTTGGTAGAGGGGACACTTAAGGTTCTGGCTTCCGCAGTCTCGCATTTGAAGAAACCGAGGTCTGACGTCAGCAGAGCAGCGCTTCTGCCAGGGTCCTTACCACATTGGCTCAGGCTTCCGGAAGGGGTGGGGCTTAAACCAGCCGCAGTGAACGGAGGTGATGTCTTTTACGGACTATGCGAAAAATGCAAAAAGCTGGTGCTAGGGCTAAGGCCCAAGGTTCCCACGGAGCCGTGCAGAGCGGGAGCATGGCAGGCGACCAGCAGAAGGGTGAGGGCCTGGGGTTGGCGGGAGCGCACCGCATTCCGCTGCAGGAACGGAAAGCCACAGAGCGCCGCAGTTCAAAGGCGGGTGAGGGAGTGCTTCCGGCGTTACGACTACGAGAGAAGTTTCTTGGTTTTGTTTTCTTTAGAGCGTGGTGGTAAAGGGATACATGGAGGGTGTCTTAGGGTGTAGTCCTGGTTAAGTTCGAACTCTTGGCAGTCCTGTCTTCTCAGCCTTCCAAATGCTAGAATTCTAGGCATAAGCCTACAGGCCTGGCCTGGGTAGCTTCGTAACAGTAGGATGAGGGCTCTTCCTAGAAGGCTGAGTTGAGTGGGATATAACAAATCGAACCTTCATTGCGTTGTATGCAGGCACTTGGAGATAAAGAATAATCAAACAGCAAAGCAAAAAGTTTGTCCTTATGCCACGCTCCTGTAAGAAAAGGTAGAGCCGGGCGGTGGTAGCAAACACCTTTAATCCCAGCACTTGGGAGGGAGAGGCAGGCGGATCACTGAGTTCGAGGCCATTCTGATCTACACAGTGAGTTCCAGGACAGCCAAGGTGGTTGCACAGAAAAAACCTGTCTCAAAACAACACCGGCATTTAACCAGGCAGGATAGCGCACTGTAGCTCTGCTTCCAGCTCTCCCGAGGCAGAGGCTACCAGGTTCGTTGCACCAAAATGGCCTGGTCTCTATGTTTAGTTTCGGGCTAGCTGAGCAAAATAGAAGCCACTGGAGAGCTTTTGAGTTCAGGGGTGACATTATAATTACTGTGAGGAGTGATACAATCAGGTTTCTTTTTAGTGTGCAAAAGAAATGGGCTATGAGCCGGGCGGTGGTGTCACATGCCTTTAATCCCAGCATTCGAGAGCCAGAGTCAGGAGGATCTCTGAGTTTGAAGCCAACCTGCTTTACAAGAGCTAGTACAGGCACCAAAACTACAAAATAACCCTGTCTTTAAAAAAAAAACAAAAAACAACAACAAAAAAAAACCCAAAAACTAGTTCCAGGATAGGACAGGCCCCAAGCTACAGAGAAACTTTGTCTTGAAAAACCAAAAATCAAAAAAAAAAAAAAAAAAAAAAGAAAAGAAATGTGCTGTGGATTGATTTACCTCTGTCTCTACAACAAGATATATCAAGTAGCCAACATTAGAGAGTTGAATGTTAGTGTAGTACCATTACAGAGCAGCACCATTGCAGTCTGTGCTGCTGTGATGGAGGATGTTGGAAAGGATGGGGGTAGAATGAGTCTTTGCTATCTGGGCTTGTGTGTGTGTGTGTGTGCGTGTGTGTGCGCGCGCGCGCACGCACGTATGGCACGCAAGTACTACAGTGAGGGTATAGAGGCCAGAGGACTATTTTAGTAATTCCGTTCTCCACCTAACTATGGTGACTCCAGGCTCTAGCTCCAGTTGTCAGGCTTGGCAGGATGTCCTTCATCTGTTGAACCATCTCTAGGCTGATGAAGTCTGCTGCTGTTGAGAGGGACTGCCGTGAGTTGTGTGACCTTCCCTTCCAGCAGACACATCTGACATGTCATTTGAGGAGCTGTTGGAGTTGCAGAGCCGAGGGGGACCCAAGGCGTGCAAACAGTTGGCTGGAAGGAGTGCTCCAAAGCAAAGCCCCAGACAACCTGTGTGTGTTGCCGATAAGCACCGGTGAGGAGTGTGCCCTCAGAATCAAAAGATACCCTGGACCTTAACTACAAGTCTGTTTTCTTGGGTGGGAAGACGCCGGTCTTTGACCAGGATTGAAGTATACTTACCCTGACCTTTTATTGCTCCTTAGGCCCCTGGAAATGTCAGCCAAAGTCCGAGTGCCATTCTTACGTCAGGTTGTTCCTATCAGTAAAAAGGTGAGGAAAGGGCAGGGAGCAAGCACTTCCTTAGAGAAAGGAGACTAAACAAGCTGTTTATTCCCAAAGGTAGCCCGGGACCCCCGCTTTGATGATCTGTCAGGGGAATATAACCCCGAGATATTTGACAAGACTTACCAATTCCTGAACGATATCCGAGCCAAGGAGAAAGTGGTATGTAATATGAAGCTGGTTTATCCACTCCTGGGGGCGGGGAGCTGGAATACATGTTGGATAGTCAGGAAGGGGAATGGGAAGCATGTTGGTAAGCAGATCTTTCTACTCTTAGTTGGTACATCAGTTTTGTGACCGTGTGATCAAGTTACTCAGCCCCCTTTGCTGTGGTTCTTTTTAAGTGAATTCATTTTTTAAGTTGATTCATAATATTTACTAGTATTTGTGGGGTAGGATAGCATTTCAGTCCGTGTATTTAGTGTTTTAATGATCAAGGTAATTGCTCTAGGTATCACTTCTCGCATAGAATCATTTCTTTGTATTGGGAACTGTCAGAATCTCTTGTTGGCTATACTCAGTTAAGCTAGGCTTAGCAGCACATATCTCTAATCCCTGCTACTTTGGGATGTGAGGCAGGAAGCAGGAAGAATTTGAGGCTACCCTGGGCCATGAGACCTCATCTCCCTACCCTCCAGAAAAAGAAGAGTGAACAGAACCATAGATTCAGTTACTTGTCAGCCTTAGTTATCTGGTTTACTGTCAAACCTTGGAAATTGTCCTCCTTATCCAGCTGCATCCCTGTGCTGGTTGACTGCCTATCCCACCCTCCCCATAAGTATACTCAGTCTGAGTTGGACCCCTGGAGCCCAGAGTTGAAGGAGAGAGTGGAAACTGCCAAGTTACCCTCCGTCCTCTGCATTCAGACCTACGCACAGTAAATAAAAAATACTGAAGCAGCATTGTTATGTGTAGTCAGTTAGGAACAGAAAGACACTTATATAGACACTTATATATTCTTTTCTTTTGTATACATAATAAATAAATAAATATAAAAAAAGTTGGTAGAAGGTGCCCGCCAACTTTTTTTTTAATATTTATTTATGTATTATGTATACAATATTCTGTCTGTGTGTACGTCTGCAGGCCAGAAGAGGACACCAGACCTCATTACAGATGGTTGTGAGCCACCATGTGGTTGCTGGGATTTGAACTCAGGAGCTTTGGAAGAGCAGGCAAAGTGTGGCTCAGTGAGAAAGAAATGGCTAGTAAGAGAAAGAAAGGGCCAGGGGCTGGGAGCTATAGCCCAGTGCTAGAGTAGAGATTTAATGCTGTGCTGGATCCTCCGACACCCACACCCCACACATTGTTTATTGATTTTGTGTTAATTTGTGTGAACTTTTATAATAAAGCTTGGCACAGAATGTTGACTATGCTATCCATTTTCCTCATGGAGCTTGTGAAAAAGCAGTTGAAGAAGCGCCGATCAGGGGAGGAGCGTGAGAAGCTGCAGCAGCTGCTCCGACGAATGGTGAGGGTGCTAGTTGGTGGGTGGTGGGAGCAGTTAAAGGCAGATGTGATTCAGAGTCCCTTCTGTTCACACCTCCATCCTGCTTCACCTCGGATCCAGGAACAGCAAGAGACGGCACAGCAGGAGCGGAAGCAGCAGCAGGAGCAGCGCCTGGCCTTGAAGCAGGAGCGGCGGGCTCTGGCGCAGCAGGGCCATCGGCCCTACTTCCTGAAGAAATGTGAGTGGGGCCGTGCTCTTGAAAGCTTACGAGAGGGGCCTTTTTGTGTGGCTGTCATCCTGGGGTCCTCGAGTCCTTTGAGGAGGACCTGTGATAACTAGGGGAAGTGAGAACAGTGGGGAAGTGGTATTTGGGATCCGTTCTGTATTCGCACTCAGATGATGTTTGTGGGCAGATTGGAGGGTAGCTTAGGTAGTAGAGTGCTCGCCTGCATTTATTAAGCCATAGGTTTGATCTCTACTACATAAAACAAGAAAAGTGGCATATGCTTGTAGTCTCAGTGCTTGGGAGGATGGGAAGATAAAGGTTGTCCTTGGATATGTAGAAGTTTGAGACTGGTCTGGACTAGAGCCCCTCTCCCCCCACAAAAAACAGTCAGGCGGTGGTGGCGCACGCCTTTAATCCCTACACTAGGGAGGCAGAGTCAGGCGGATCTCTGAGTTCAAGGCTGGCCTGGTCTACAGAGCGAGTTCCAGGACAGGTCCAAAGCTACAGAGAAACTCTGTCTTAAAAACAAAACAAAAGAAACAAAAAACCAAAGTTGGTGATTGTTACTTTTATCTCCGTATCACTGCATTTCCACTGTTTGCCCAACTTGGTTCAGATGAGTAAGACTTGAGTCAGAACATTAGCTTAGAGGCCAGGTTCCACAGGGCACACCTCAGTCCCTGCGCCTGGGGGAAGGAACACTCAACATCTCTTAAGAGTTCAAGGCCGGGGGCTGGAGCTATGGTTCCCTGTTCAGTTCTCAGCACGCATGTGGCAGGTCACAACTGTCTGTAACTCCAAGATCTGACACCCTCACACAGACATACATGCAGGCAAAACACTGCTGTACATAAAATAAAAATTTTAAGTAATTTAAAAGGGGGGGGGGCTGGAGAGATGGCTCAGAGGTTAAGAGCATTGCCTACTCTTTCAAAGGTCCTGAGTTCAATTCCCAGCAACCACATGGTAGCTCACAACCATCTGTAATGAGGTCTGGTGCCCTCTTCTGGCCTTCAGGCATATACACAGACAGAATATTGTATACATAATAAATAAATATTTAAAAAAAAAAAAAGAAAGAAAAAAAGAAAGGATTCAAGGTTGCCAGGCGAGGCCAACCTGGTCTACAAAGCGAGTTCCAGGACAGTCAGGGTTTTTGCACAGAGAAACCGTGTCTCTAAAAACAAAACAACACCAAAAAAACGCCAGCCTGGTTTATGTGGTGAGTTCCAGGTCAGGACCAGGCTACCAAAAAAAAAAAAAAAAAAAGAGAGAGAGAGAAAAGTTAGTTTAGGCAGGGTTACTTGATAGCTCAGTGGTAATGCCACTTGCCTAGGATGAAAAAAGCCCTGGATTCATTTCCTAGCTCTAACATGCTCAGTGGACTGGGGCTGTGGCTCATTAGTAGAGGCCTTGCCTCTCCCACCAGCATCCGTGAAGCTGTTTGATCACCAGCAGCAGCACACACAGCACATACGGTGTCTCTCGTACACCATGGCTCTTAACAACACGGCCCAGCAGAAGGGGCCCAGATGTGAGACTAAGAAACAAGGTCTTCATCCTTTGCTCACCAGCTTGCTTTCTTCTTATCTAGCTGAGCAACGCCAGTTGGCCCTAGCTGAGAAGTTCAAGGAGCTGAAACGCAGCAAGAAGCTGGAGAGTTTCTTGAGCCGAAAGAGGCGCCGAAATGCGGGCAAGGACAGGAAGCATCTCCCTTTGAGCAATTAGTACTAAGGAACTGTCCCAGGGAGACCTGGGTCGATGGGACAAGTCTGGGGTTGCCCAGTTCTGGTTCTTCCCTGATGAAAGGCAAGCCTCACACTCCCCCTGAACTAGGCTGCCTCAGGACTGGCGTGTTTTGCCCCTGGGTCTGCTAGGGCTGTCCAGCCAGAGAAGCCCAACCTTCTGTCATGTCACAGTGCCTTCTCAGACTCGTTCATCACGGTCTCATGTGTTCCTTCCACTCTTTCCTTATGACATGGGGTACGTTTGTGGCTCCAGGGAAGGGACTTTACAGAAGAGCCACTTTGACAACATGCTTGTTACTTATTATATTGTTGTTATTTTGATTGTGTGTCTGTTTGTGTTTAGGGGGTATGTGCACATGAATACTGGGACCTTTGAAGGGCACAAGCTTTTACTTCCCCCTGGAATTGGAGTTAGAGATGGTAGTAAGCTGTCCAGTGTGAGTGCTAGGTACCAAATGAGTCCTTTGCAAGAACAAAACACACTTGATCACTGAGCCATCGCTATAGTCCCCCTTTTATTTACTTATTCATTCTTATTTTATTGTTGTTTTGCCTGTATGTCTATGTGAGGGTGTTGAATTTTGGAGTTAGAGACAGTTCTGAGCTGCCATGTGGGTGCCGGGAATTAAACCTGGGTCCTCTGGAAGAGCAGTCAGTGCTTTTAACTGCCGAACTAACTCTCCAGCCTCCCCCTTGTTTGTTTGTTTGAGACAGGATTTCTTTATGTAACAGCCCTGGCCATCCTGGAATTCACTTCATAGTCCAAGCTGGCCTCAGAATCAGACACCTGCCTGCCTCTGCCTCCCAAGTGCAGGGATTAAAGTCTGCCTGCACCACCACCTGGCCCCATTTTGTTTTTATTTGGAGACCTAGAACTTATTGTTTTGGTGGACTGTGTGTGGTCTACAGTGCGAGAGATCAGATCAGGACCCTCTCCATCTTAAATCTAAACCCTGAGAAGATGTCTAAGTGTCCATCAGTCCTACAGTCACTTGACCTTCAGTAGAGTGGGATGTGAGAGGTAGTGAGTCAACGTTCTTCATGCATCTACCTGAGAAGGGACTTCAGTATATAACCATTGCCCCCTTGCCTCTGGGCCCACACCTAGTGAGGCAGAGCATTTGCGACAGCAGTGTATCTTGCTTCCTGGTAGGATTATGGGTACGTACCATCACACCCATCCAGGACATTAAAAAGGAAGTCACTATGATTGTATGTGTTTGTCTTGGTTTAATTTTTACTGCTGTGTTAAAGCACCACAACCAAAAGCAATTTAGGGAGGAAAGGGTTTATTTCATTAACAGCTTTTTAGGGACGTCAGGAGAAAAACTCAAGGCAGGAACTGAGGCAGAGGCTGTGGAGAAACTCTGCTTACAGGCCAGGCCTCCTCTACATGGCTGCTTCAGTCTGCTTGCTTTTTTTCTTTTTCTCTGTGTGGTCCTGGCTGTCCTAGAACTCGCTTTGTAGACCAGGCTGGTCTCAACTCAGAGATCCATCTGCCTCTGCCTTGCCAGGGCTGGGATCAAAGGTGTGCACTGCCATGCCTGGCCTCAGCCTACTTTCTTATACCACTTGCGACCACATGCCCAGGGGTGGCACCACCACAGTGAGCTTGGCCCTCCTATATCGATCCTCCATCAGTCAGGACAATGCTCGCCTAAAGAAAGGTACAAGACCATTGTCCTACAGTATACTTGTGTCAAGTTTGCATAAAAACTAGCTGGTATGATGGATATTTCTCTTAAGACATAGAATAGATTGTTTTTCTTCAGTTGAAATTTTTCAGGTAAAGAATAACCATCTAGGATTTATTTTTATTTTATGTGTATAGGTGGAGTTTCTTTCCTCTTTTTTTTTTTTTAATGATAAATGAACTGAGACTTTTATTTCAAAATTTGATTCTGTATAGTGTTCTGCCCTGCAGGCTGGAAGAGAGCACAATATCCCATTGTAAATGGTTGTGAGCCACCATGTGGTTGCTGGGAATTGAACTCAGGACCTCTGGATGAGCAGCCAGTGCTCTTAACTGCTGAGCTATCTGTCCCGTCCCCAAGAATTTTACTTTTTAACTTTTAAAAGTATTTTATTTTATGGGTGTGGGTATTTGGCCTGTATTTATGTATATGTTCCTGGAAGCTCACAGAGGCCAGAACAGGATAAGATTCCTTGGAGGTGGAGTTATGGGTGGTTGTGAGCTGCCATATGGGCGCGGGGATCCTCTGGAGAGCAGACAGTGCTCTTAACCTCTGAATCATCTCTCCAGCCTTTTTTGTTTTGTTTTGTTTTGTTTTTTTGTTTTTTTTTTTGTTTGTTTGTTTTTCGAGACAGTTTCTCTACGTAACAGCCCTGGCTGTCCTGTAACTTGCTTTGTAGACCAGGCTGGCCTTGAACTCAGAGATGTTCGCCTTCCTATTCCTTCTGAGTGCTGGGGTTAAAGGTGTGCACCTCCACTGCCTGGCATGTTCCTAACTTGTTCAGCCATCTTTCCATTCCTGTGGTTTTTTTATGTTGTTGTAGCCAACCTGTCCCCCGAGTCATCACTGGAATTGAAGGCCCATCTGCCCTCAGGAGTGGGTGATCCGGAGGAAGAGGCTCACACCTGGTGCTGGTCAGGAGAGTGGGCTGTCTTTGGAGTCAGACCTGATACTCTGGATATAGGCAAATCAGGCAGGCTGTGTACTTAGGAGGGCTGTGAGCTGTGTGATTAGGAGGACCCAGCAATTCAGGAGGAGTCAGTCATCCCGGGACTCTTAAGACCAAAGCAAGTGTTGTGTGTTTGAGGGACTTCCTACATGGAATGAACTTGAGACACAGCTGAATCAGTGTGCTCCCTGATCCCAGCATTCTGGAGGCAGAGGCAGGCGGATATCTCTGAGTTGGAGGCCACCCTGGTCTACAAGAGCTGGTTCCAGGACAGGCTCCAAAGCTATAGAGAAACCCTGTCTCGAACCCCCCCCCCCCCCAAAATAGCATCATATGTATATGTATGTATGTGTGTGTATGGATATATTGCTAGATGGTGTGTGCCCACTGCTGGTGAGCAGTGAGTGAGCCGCGCTGTGCTCCTGGGGCAGTGGCAGTGCTGGAAAGTGAGGCATAGCCTCGCCTGTGGACAGTGTGAGCAGGCTTGCTACTGGAGCCCAGAGGGACAAAGCGTTGGCACTTCACCACTAGCTGAAGTGCATACTCTGGGTGTGCCCCATACTCTTGTAATCCCAGCACTTGGGAGGCTGAGATGAGTTTGAGGTTAGCCTAGGGTATGTAAGTAAGTTCTAGGGCAGCCTGGACTAATGTTGCAAAGTTGTGTCCAAAAAAACCAAAAAAATATGATTTGGGCCATTAAACAGCCATGATATCAGGACTGAAGAGATGGCTCAATAGTTCAGAGCACTGGCTGCTTTTCCAGAGGACCTGGATTTAATTCTCAGCACCCACATGGCAGCTCACACCTGTCTGCAACTCCAGTTCCAGGACTTCTGACACCCTCACACAGACACTCTTGTGGGCAAAACATGAATGGATATAAAAATAAAATGTTATATATTTAAAAAGGCATGAACTCTGCTATGGAGGACGCTCCCAGGTGATAAATGACAATAACCCCCATGTACCCTGAACCCAATAATGTTCTGGCCTTTCTGGGCAGTCATGGGCTAACAACAGATCAGAGGTATCATGGGACCAGGGCAGCAAAACAAGATAGCCCTCTAGTCTGCTAGAGCTCAGTCCCTACCCTGCTCCCTCATGCCTTTTCTTGTTTCTTCATTCCGAATATTCTCTCTCCCAAACCCTGGCTTCCATCCCAAGTCTGTTCTGGGTCACATGAAGTTCCTTCTGTTTGGCCTTTGTGCCCCCCTCACCTCCTGGCTCTTCCTCATCCCCCACCTCCACCCCCGTTCTCTCACTTTTCCCTGTCACTGTTGATCTTCAAGGGCCAGAGACTGCTTTCTCCTCTGTACCCCTGCTAAAACGGGTCTGCCTCTGGCAAGGGGTTTTTCTAGACTTCTTCTCTGGTCCAATGTGGGTGTGGCCAGGGTAGCCAATCCTGGAAGTATAGGCTTGCCCTGGGGGCTAGCTAGAGGCAGGAGCCCAAGGGCAATTTGTGCAGCTCTGTTTGACTGGAGGGGGGGGGGGTCCTGTAAAGAGGGCAGGCAGCTGCAGAACGGCTTGTGAGGAGCAGAGAGAAGCTCCAGTTCCTTCCGGGTCCTGAGCCGTCAGTGGAAGACGGTCAAGCTTTGGGGTACTCACAAAGGTGTTTTACCTTTTCACCCTCAGGGAATGGCTGTAGTTGGCCCTGGGAAACAGTAGCTAAACCAGATGTGGGGGGCTGGCAGGGCCTTCCTTGTGTTAAAGCTTCCATCTGTTTCTTGCCAAGATCCCTTAGCCACTCCTCCCCAGCTCTACAGATGAGGAAATGGAGCCTTATTTGGGAACTTGCCCAAATTACAAAGCATGTGACCTAGTGGGCCCAGTTAGTATCTGTCTGACCATACCCTCTGAGCAGAAATGGAGATCCATTCTTGGCTGTTGAATGTCCCCCGCCCTGGGCACGCCTGATAACTTTCTTTGCCCTCCAATCCACCTTCCTCACCTTAACGAGACTCCTGATATGTCAGAATACTGTCAGAATACTGCCTGAATGCCGGAGGACTTCTTCCCATCAACTAGACACTCACCCCCACTCACCTGTCTCTGGCAGTCACCACACAAGTCAGATCATCAAATTCCCAGGTTTTATTTTTTGTAGAAAGTCCAGCCTTACCTACTCTGGACCCCATTGCCAAGGCTACCGGAACGTGGAGAAGCTCTGGGTACCAGTGCAGGAAGCATAAGGGACACCCCGGGAGCGGATTTGCAGGGTGTGGAAGGTGAGGGGTGGATTGGGGCCTGACGAGCCAGGGTTCAGGGACTCGGTGTGCGGCTCCATCACAGTTATAGGGACCGCATAGAACAGCATCTGCGGCCGGTCGTCATGGCGTCTCAGTGTGCCCTTGCCCAGGAGGTGCAGGATGCAGGAGAGGACATCCGTGCTGCTGCACACAGCTCCCTTGCCAAGGCTACTGACCAAGCCCCTGGGAGGACACGGGCCTTTCTGCCATGCTTCCAGCACCTGAGATCAGAGAGGAAATAACAGGTCAAAACCACAGAGCCATCTGTCCTCCGTGCGAGTCACATACCCCTAGGACTGATCATCCCTAGCAGATCAAGGGTGGCACCTCATGGCCATACCAACTCTGCTTACCAGACAGACAAGTTGGTCGATGTGCAAACCTTCATCCCCATGAGCCTTGAGAATTCGGACAACAAGGCAATTTAGAAGA